AAAAACATGACAACAATAGAAAAAAATGGGACTACACCAGATTTAAAGGCTCTGCAAAGCCAAAGAAACAACAGTATGAAAAGGCAACCTACAGAATGCAAGAAAATTTTTGCAAACCCCCTATATCAGATAAGGGGTTAATATCCAAAATATATTAAGAACTCATGCAACTCAATTACAAAAACACAACCTGATTTAAAAATGGGCAGAGGAATTAAATAGCTATTTTTCCAAAGAAGACATACAAATGCCAACAGATATATTAAAAGATGCTCAACATCACTAATCATCAGGGAAATGCAAATCAACACCACCATGAGGTATCACCTCACTCTGTTACAATTTAAGCCTGTTATCAAAAAGATAAGAAATAAATGTTGGTGAGGCTGTAGAGAAAAGAGAATCCTTGTGCTCTGTTGATGGGAATGTAAATTGGTGCAGCCACTATGGAAAAACAGTATGGAGTTTCCTCAAAAATTAAAAATAAAACTGCCATATAATACAGCAACTGCACTTCTGGGTATGTGTCCAAAACCACTAGTTTAGATACATACATGTACCTCTGTGTTTACTGCAGCCTTATTTAGAATAGCCAGATACGGATACAACCTAAGTGTCTCTTGATAAGTGAAGGGTTAAAAAAAAACTGATGCACAAATATTGTTCAGCTATGAAAAAGTAGGATGTCTTGCTGTTTGCAACAATATGGATGGAATTTGAGCACATTGTGCTAAGTGAGATCAAAAAAGACAACTACTGTATGATATCACTTATATGCAGAATTTTAAAAAGCCAAACTTGTCAAAACGGTAAAATGGTGGTTACCACAGGATGGCAGGAAGGGTGATAAGACAGTTAAGGGTATAAAGTTAACAATGGGTAGCAAATAAACCATAGAGAATTAATGCACAGTGAAATGAATATAGACAACAATATTGTACTATAATCAAATTTGTTAAGAGTCTAGAACTTATTTCAACCTTTAAAAAAGGATAATTATGTAATGATAGAGGTGATAATTATCACTACAATGGCAATCAAATTACAATATATATCAAATTAATATGTTGTACCCCTTAAACTTATACAAGGTCTAAATGTCAAACATATTAGGGTTTTAATATATAAAAAGAAAAAAGGAGAGGAGACTTCTCTTGCATTGTAGTTAAGAGCAGATGGGCACTGGCTCAGATAGCCTTGGTTTGAATTCTGGCTCCAACACTACTGAACACCTTGTGCCAGTTATTAATCTCTAATTTTCATTATCCCAATTTATAACTAAGACTAAAACAGTACCCACCTCACAGCACTGTTAGAAGGCTTAATGAGAGAAATCCATGCACAGAGCTTAGCTCAGTTGCCTGCACATAGTTGGGGTAAATAAATGTTGGCTTAATAGCTTAATATGTATTAAACACATACATACATATATATAAGACAACACATAAAGGAAGAATCCAAATGCAACACTTCAATCAATTCGCGTCCAGACAAAGGAAGCACCGTACAAATTAAGAAAAATACAAATATGGGTAAAAGACTTATGGGGAAATGGGCCAAAAAAAATGAGCAATATACAAAAGGTTAAACAAAAAGAGGAATGAACTTATCAAAGGATGCTCAGATTATTAATACAGATTGTCACTCATCAGTTTGATAAAATCAATAGTTTGGCAAAACTATTGGTGAAATATAAGAAAAATACAATATGACTGTACCTTAGTAAATTTGATAATACACATATGCCCCCTCTAAAAAACTCTGCCTCTAAGTGTAGATCTTACAGAAAATATTGCACATGTACATGTAAACAGATAACCTTGTAGGAATATTTATAATAGCAAACATTTGGAAACAATTGTGCATCAGTAAGATAAAGCAATAAAATGTGATTATGCTTACGAAAATCCTATAATTCTGTCACAAAGTGAATTTGCGTGAAATTCAAAAACAGTTCCAACAAGAAGCATGTTGTTCACATAGTTTTCACATTGTAACTTAACTATTTGCAGAGGAAAAGTAGTCAAAAATGGTATGAAGATCTTTTAAGGATATGTTATACTTGTGTAACTATAGTTAATATCCAATATTCCTTTGCCTAATAAAGCATACATTTTCTTGAGATTGTATCTGTGAATAGGTGTGTTTATAACATACACACATATATGTGCACACAGGTGTTTACATATAAAATTTTATCCTGAAAATATTTTTACATATGGCTATACTTTTATTAAAATTTTTAAGCATTTCATTTTGTAAAACTTATTCCCCAGGAATAGAAAGTTCCATTTCCCCCATGATTTTATTAGTGGAATTTCAGAAGCACTTGGAGTGATATTTATTTTACTTATAATATCTACATAAAATCATCTTAAATGTCATTTATATTTTGAATACTTGCAAAAAGTATTTTGTTAGAGTTAAAATAATCTGGAATCCTGTGTCAATTTTCAGATCAAATGTGTATATTTAAATGTGTAGATTCAAATTTGTACCTGAATATAATAAAGGGTGTTAAGGTGACTTTTTATAAAATAGAAACCAGACTTAAGAATTCCCTTAGCAGACAAAATCATTTAAGCCACATGAACAAGACTAAATCTAGCCTTTTTCATGAATATAAGTGAAACTTGGGATATTTCTTATAAATGTGTCTGATAATCATAAAAGAAACTGAAGTCATCTTCCTAAAGATGGCATGAGAGATCATCACTTATAACCAATCCCCTGCTGTGTGGAAACCCCCACTGTAATAACCGATCACTGTAAAGGTCAACAACTTCTTCATTTTTACTTTATAAGCCATTCTGGGGGTGCCTGGATGGCTCAGTCGTTAAGCGTCTGCCTTCGGCTCAGGTCATGATCCCAGGGTCCTGGGTTTGAGCCCCGCATTGGGCTCCCTGCTCCGCGGGAAGCCTGCTTCTCCCTCTCCCACTCCCCCTGCTTGTGTTCCCCCTCTCCCTGCTTGTGTTCCCCCTCTCAGTGTGTCTCTCTCTGTCAAATAAATAAATAAAATCTTTAAAAAAAAAAATAAGCCATTCTGTAACTTCATGTCCCTGAGTTTTATATTAGTCCTTGAATTTGGGGACCCCTAGTTTAAAAACTGTTATTACACTCCCAATAAACTTTTATTAAGTACTATTTATTGATGTGATGGGTTTAACTTTGTTATTTCTGGATTTTGGACAGATGTAACCAGAGAAAGATGAAAGGGAAACCCAATTTAACTCCTTATTAATGATCTATACAATCACAGTAGCTTAGCTCCACTAAGCAATAGAAATTCCCTACATATGAGGAGTTTGAGTGATAGGAACTATTAATTTTTTTCCATCACTTTATTATTAGCATAGTCCTATGACTCTAGGCTCAAAGGAATTTTTATCAGTGGATTGTCCAAAACATTTTAAGAATGAATCCTTTAAGTCCACGGACTACCATACTGGTAAAATGAAATATTTGTTCTCTTACATTACTCTTTTCAGGCCATCAAGACATGACTGAAAGTCAAGGAACTCAAGAACTATCCAAATTTCAATGGTTCTCAAACTATGTATCATGATTCCCTAAAAGTTCATTGGTAGTGTATGGTATATATGTATGTTAGGCTTGGTTTGAGAATGGGGAGTGGGAGGGGCTGGTATTGCACAGTGCTAATAGAGGCTTTTCTCTTGTATGCAGTAGATTTCCAATCAAGGTTGGTTGGTTGGTTTTCTCCAATAAGGGTTCCATAAAGGATTGCTAAATAGAATAGACTGAAAGCCATTTGTATAGAGAGAGGTTATTGTAAGCATAAATACCTAACTGGAAAAGTCAGGTATTTATTGTTTTCCTGAAGTTGGATAATATGGTCATGAAAGACTCAATTACTTTATAATTATTAATCAATATTTTGATATAATGGTTATGAAAACAGAGTGGAAATATTTACTCCGCAGAATTTTCCCTGACCTCCTCCACTTAATTGTACAGACATAGCCAAATAATATTCTCAGAGCTAGCACTGTTTGGAGTAGAATATATCCTGTGCAGCAGACTTGCTGGTGCTGGTTGTACCTAGATAGCAGTAGAAATGAATACAAGGAGACCATGATAAATTTGAACAAATTGAGGGATTTGGGGGCTAAAATTATTTTAGTTTTCTCTTCATTTTTCAATCTGTTAGTCATTTGGGCAGAATTCATAATATATTTCCAGAATTGATGAGTTCTTAAATCTTAACTATAGTCCTTGTCAAACCTGTTTTAATAACATAGCAAAGAATGTTCTTATAAAAATGAAAAGCTCCTATCATTTTCTTAATCTCTGGCATCTTTCAGTATGGTATGAATATATTCATCCTGCTGCAAGCAGACATATTAAGTACAGAATTTTGTGTTCATTCTTAAAATGTCAATTTAACTAAATTAAGATCCTGCTAAATTTGTGAGAGCATTTTATTATAACGTGCTTGTTGCTTTTGTAAGACTTGTAATTGGTAACAGAAATTTCCAAGTGACACAATACCGGACCTTAATAAATATTTCTTTAAAAAAGGTAATCTATGAAACAACACATGAAATAGAAGCCAAGAAAAAGAAAGCTATGCACACAAGCCCTGGAGTAAATATATTCTGATTTTCTATGATTGCCGATGAAATTTGTCCCTGTGACTGTAACTAGTACATGTCTACATCTGTAATGTGAAATGGTATATAACTGATTATGGGAATCCATATAATTCCTATGTGCTAAGAAAATGAAAGTTGTGGAACTTAACATTTAGAGTTAGACCTTCAAAATCTCACAGTTTCATGTTATTTATTTTTAAAATTAAGGCATATGCAACACACGAAGAATGGTAATTTTGCGCTAGATGGAGAGAGTTAAATCACAGCTAGCTCTGTGTGCAGTTGTAACCTACCCATTCTGGAACAGAACACATGGTGTTCAGATCCAGAAAAATTAATAGATTTTATTCGCATGTATTTCTACTGTTTCCTTGACAACTACTATAGATGCTGCTATCACCATGGGAATGGTTCTTCTAAATGAAGCAGCAACATCCAAGGGAGATGTTGGAAAAAGACGGAGTAAGTCTGTGTTGCTATTTTTGTAGTTTTGTTTTAAGATTTAAGTAAAATGGGAAATATATAAAAATCCTTAATAAACAAATTTCTAAAGAAATGTTCTGATATGAGAAAGGTCGCAGTTTGTTTTTGTTTTACTTTTTTCTATTTCTTGGATGTGGGTGTACAAATACTTAAAAATATATTTCTTCCAAAATGGGATTGGGTGATTTTCTGTGGGATTGCATGCAAAGGCAAGCTGTCAGCCCTTGTCAGGGGTGCTCTGACCCATGTCTGCTGAAGCTGTAGTCTCCATAATAATGTGCACACTACAGGGAGACACACAATTCTGTGGCCAGAGTCTTCAGAGATTTTATTGGCAAATGCTGTGTTCCTTATGCCACAAGAATCAGGTTTACATTCAAGGACTCACAGTTTTCAGATAGGTTTTGTACACTGAAATATAATACCTTCTGAATACCTCCAGACTTCTTTTGATCAACATTTGAAAAGGAGTTATCTGTTCATAGTGTCTTTTCCAGGCTCTTTGCCTTTTCCAGTGGTATTCCAAGATTTACAACTCCATGGATTTCCAGCATTATGTTTCTAAGCAAGTTAACTATGTTTTATCCTTTGATGGAACTGTTCTCTTTTTGGGGGGCGGGGGGGATTGTAGGAAAAAAATCATTTTTATGAAGTAATAGGTTTTGACAAGACAAGGGAAGAACACAGGAGAAAAATCTGCCCTTAGGAGCATAGGTTAGGAACGAAGAGAGGGCCTTAAAATTTCCTGCCACAAACCTTTTTATTATTATTATCAAGTTCCTATGTAATTTAATGATTAAACCTATAATTAAAATTTTTCCTAGTATGCTTTGCATTTCCAGAACCTTTTTAAACTCAGAATTTATGTGTGAGCAGCATAGATGTCTGAGAAAGACAATTTATTAAGTTTAAAATAAAAATCCAGACTTATTTTCTTCTTGGAAGTATTAGCTATGGTGACACGTATATAAATAAATCATAGTGATTTCTAAATAGTTGTCTTAAGTGTTAAAATATTTTGGATTTAATACACAGTTTAGTCTGTCCTTTGTTTTCCCATGATGGTGTCTTTACACCATTGTAAAGAAACCACAAAAGAATCTAATGCATTACTTTTAGTTAAGCATTGTGCAAAATATCATTTTATGATACATCTTTTGAACAATGTAATGCTCTTGCAATTGACAGTGTTTATGAAGACAAATTCTTATGTGATTATTATATATCCTGTCTTATTAAACTAAGTAATAGTAATAAATACATATTTTTTTTTATCTTACAACATCTGTGATACTGAGTTTACAAAATCACTACTTCCAGCTTCCCTCTTGGTAGATGTTTCTCTACATATCACTCCAACGCTCAGCACTGTCAAATTATTTATTCATGTGTAGTGTGAGAGAAAGAAAGAGACGTGGGAAATCTATTTTACAATTACTCCTTTTTGATATATAATACAACTACTGTGATTATTATTGCTCAGATCAGAATGATCCTGTGTCATCCCAGCATTTTCTTCTAAGTATGTTACCTTGTATGGGCTGCAACGGTCCATTCAGTAATTACGTACTCCTTACTACTACTCACTCAATTCTGCTGCTCCCTTCCCTATATACAAGGACTTGAGTAGCCCTGTTTTGTTCCACTGCACAGAACCAAGTAAATATATTGTTTTACTTGATCACGTACTTTGAGCTTCATTTCCCATTGAGCACAACCAAAGTGGCAAAGGGAGTAAAAGTGTTTTATTTAGCTTCTGAAAATTTAAAACAAAGGAAAGGATGAAGTGTTTGATAAAAATACCAAATGTGGTAAGGTGTAAAATAAAGCATGAGGTAATTAATTCTAGGTTTAGTAAGGTTGTTGTAAGAAGGGACGCTGTTATTGTTGTATCCAGGGCCTGGTATCTTTCATACTTGGATAGTCTACATATTTTTAAAAAGGTGTTTTTCATTTTGGGATATTTGGCAACCTACTTTTTACTTTATCTTCTGCCAATATTCATTTGAAGTTCAACTGCATGAACTTTGTCTGAAATGGAGTGTCACGGAGGCTACAGTTGAATGTTGTTAAGCACTTACGACTTCCAACAATTTATACTCAAAACAGAAAGAACGATATTCCTACAGAGCTGAAAGAAAACTGACAGATTCCCAGACCATTTTTTGACAGTGTAAGAACTTATCCGCTCCTTGATTTCCAGGATTGTAATTAAACCTGGTCTCAGACCTGCTAGGAGGCTTTTTAATGTATTTCATCATTATGGAAGTGTGTTGAACTGCTAACTTTTCCTTGTGTTCCTGTGCCTCCATTTCTTCTCTTTCTAATTATTTCAGATATTTTCAGTATTTTTATAAGAATTCTCTGAAACTAATGAAGGGATACAAGTATTGTACAAGTGTTTTATTCTTAAATTCTTAGATTTTTCTTAAGAATTAACTCTATTTCCTCCTTATGGCATAGATTTAAGTCCATTTCAATTCTTTAAATACATTTATTTTTTTATTCCAAACATATCTACATTTAATTGGCTCAGATTCTTAAGCTTTTTAATTTGATAAGCATATATTTTACTAATAAATCTTGTTTATATACTCTATATATTTGCATACATATTTCCATTGTATGTATTACATATATTTATTACTCTTTGACTTTAGAATAAAATCTTCCTGACCATAACAAAAAGGAAAAAGAAAGCAAAAAAGTATTTTCCCTCTTGTTGACTTGGCTGGGATAAAGGGATACTGAAAACCTAGACCACAGCACATTCTACTCTAATATTAGCCTTCTGTTCGTTTGTTAAAAGAAATAACAGCACTTTTACACAATTATCTACTCTGTGGGGGGATTTTCCCCCCTTTTGCTCTCCAGAATCCATATTATTTCACTCCCAAAGGTTTTATTCCTAGCTTTTTGTACACTAGGATGACTATTTCTAAGTAACAGACAATAATCTAACCAATAATCTAAAATGACATTTCTTTGTAAATATTGCATGGCATCTGAAAAGAATAAAATTCTGTTTAGTATTCTAATAATGCAAATGTCTATGCTAATATAGCCAATGCTTTATAAGGCAGGGGCTGGTAATCTTGTTTGTGGTTTATCACATATTTTGTTTTGTTTTGATCCCTCTGAGGCATTTTAGTACTTGTAGGAAGGAACTCTGTAAGAGAAGAAAAGCACCAGAAGACTTAGGTCACTTTTGTTTTCATACCCCAAATAGTACATTTTCATTGAGAAGAATGTGGAAAATAATGAATACATTGTATTTTGGATTATCTGGTTTGTTGTGCCTGTATGTGCCATGAACTATTAAAATGTAAGTATACTGTTATTAATTGAATGCATTTATAAAACATATGCATTTGGGTTCCATGTGTCTAGACACTAATGGCATTTTCTGTCTCTTTCTAGTAATTTGCCTAGTGGGATTAGGCCTGGTGGTCTTCTTCTTCAGTTTTCTACTTTCAATATTTCGTTCCAAATACCACGGCTATCCTTATAGGTAATATCATAATGTGAATGTTTTTAACTAATAAACAATTTCATTGGTTAATGTATATTTAAAGGCTAATATAAAGTAGCTAACTCATTTGCCAAGTGATTTTAAACTCAGTTAAGCAAGTCTTTGAGCACCTGCCATTCGTTCGGCTCAGACTTTGCAGAGGACCTATAAGGCATGGGGCCTTATAGGCAGAGTAGAGTTTCATTTTAGAATGAAATAGTTTTCATTATATACATATATACAGTGGGTTTTAGCCTTAGGGAATTCATCAAATTTCTTTTTCTCTTGTTTTGTCTGTCCATCCGATCATTCACATTCAAATTCTTTGGCTTCCTCAGGTTTACATAGGATATATGTTTCCTCCCATGACATTTAAATAAATGCATGTCTCAGAAATAACAAAATATAGTAAAGGGAATCAGTATGCACCCTTAAAATACCAATTTTACATTTGAAAAGTTTTGTCTTAATTAATCTAGCACATGGATTTATGCTAAAGTTACCTTAGTTGTGGTAGATCCTGCTTGTTTTTTTTTAATTGCACTGCATCATTTTCCTTTTGAATTATCTTTTATTTTTTTCTCAGAAATGTTAATCAGTTGTCTTGTGAATGTGGTAATAAATAGATGATAAACATCAAAAGCAAGTGTAGCTCAAAGGTCTGCAGAGATTACATGCCAGAGACTTGGATAAATCCTGAGCTAAATCCTAAAAACCTGACAGCACAGGGGGAAAATATACATCTGTACAGCTAGTTCACTGGAGAAAAAGTAAAGATGATAGCACAAGCAAGAGTGAGAGAGCTAATGAATGAAAGAGTGGGAGAGAGAAATCTGAGAAGTGGAAATGTGAGATGTTGCTAAAAAAGAAAAAGATCTCTCTTCCCACGGAATTATTCTGCTTGAGAAGCCTTGGTCAATTATGAACGTAACATAGCACCACATTCTCAAACAGTTTGCATTCCCAGAAGTGTGTTTCTGTGGCACAAGCATTAGAGTACTTGATTAAAAAAGAAAAAAGAAAAATCAGCCTTGCTCATCTCAGATAAAGGCAGTTTATAAGGAATAAGAGAATGAGATACAGCATTATAGGAAAGGAAAACATGCAAAACATTCCAGAAGGCATGTGCTGGCCTGAGTACTTCTGAAAAGACATTTGTGGGTATCTGTCTGCACAGAAAGACGCTATTAACCCTGGGGACCAAGAGCTAAGTTAATGCAGTCATTTGCAGCAGACATACACTGAAGTAGGTTTGCAAAAGAAAAGAAGAATAGTTTTGTCCAAGACCATATCCTTGACTTTGAGATGAACTACAAGGACAAACACACTTTTTCCTTTAAAAAGATTGAAAAAACTACCCACTTCTGCCTGCTTTAGCTAATACCTGTACTTTGGATAAACGTGTTGAGGTATCCTATAGTGAAAATGTACATTTGAATATAATACCATATACTAATTTAAAAATCGCTTGTAGCCAGGGACTTCAGCTCCAGTGCCAAAGTACTTTCTTGGGTGTAATGCCTTAGCATTTTGTGGCCTTCGATTTCTTCCTTTTAAATTTCTATGAGTTATAACTTTTGTAACAAGAAATACTACTGATAGTTTAAATGTTATAGTTCTGGACATAGTTCTAATTTTTTGTTCCTCATAATTTTGAATTCTGTTTAATCTACAACCTTTAATTTCTTCTGTGTGGTGATCTTTATGTGTTTTATTTTTGTTTTTCTTTTAATCTTAAGCCTCACAAAACCTTAAAATTTATATTCTTCATTATATTTTCTCAGTACTTCACACTATTATTTTTGTTGATCTTTGTAACTATTTAAAGGGATAAGTGTCTGCTTGAAATATTTATCCTTTTTCCTTAAATCTTTCCCACATTTTAGACTTAAGGGTGCTTTTCCTATAGTATCAATAGGTTTCACGCCATCACTGAATTCTCCCAGATTCTGTTAGGTTTCAATAAGCAAACTTGTTGGATTTAAATTCCTGATTTAAAAACAAAACAAAAACAAAACCAAAAAAACCTCCTGATCTGTTACTGTGTGACCTTGGACAAGTTACTTAATTCTTCTAAATACTGGTTTTCTCATTTGTAAATGGAAAAAAAAATTACCTACTTCATTTGACTATTGTAAGGATTACATGAGAGAATGCATGTAAATTACTTAACACATTGCCAAGTATTAGTAAATAACACATAGTATTACTCAATAAATGTTAGATGCTTATTATCATTAATTCAGATAGATGTAAATATTTCAAACTCATTTATATTTAATTTACTTTGCTAAGTAGGATTTTCTTTACACTGAAGATTAAGTAACTTTTTTATTTGCATGGTTCAGTTGAGTAAAGAACAGATTGTCCCTGAACCTTTTGATGAACTTAATTGGGCTCCTGAGTCCCTTGAAACTACCAGTGAAATATCAAGATTATTAAGAATTTGGTCTAATTACCATCTGAGCCATAGGTCAAAAAAAAATTTTATTCCGGTGGTAGCACTGCATTCATTTTGTGTATTAAAGATTAACTTTAGGTGCATCCCCATTTTCAAAGAAAAGCAAAGAGCTAATAGCAATACATGATAGTCTTTACTTAGGGGTAATTTCCCTTTTTTTTTTCCACTGATGCACTTTGACCTACAAAAATTCAAAAAATTTCTATATAAGTACTTCTGACCCAGGTCTCTACTTTAGTAAAAAAAAAAAAAAAAAAAAAACATTCTCTATTCTATCACTTTGCATCCTATTTATAAAACTCTTTAGTTGTCTTAGCAAGATAGAGTAGCAGAATGGAAAAATAATATTTACAATCAGAAGAGCTGAGTTCAAGTTCAATATATAATTTTGTAATTAAGAGCTCTACCTCTACAGTCACACAAATCTTTGTTTGAATTTTAGATCCTCTCCACGAACTTTGGGACTTAGAGTTAGTTACTAAGTTCTGGGTCTCATTTTTCTTCATTTGGAAAATCATGCTTTAGTTTTTTTACGGGGTTGGAGACAGGCTCAGTTGTTAGGTTTGTCTCATTATTTCTCTATCTTTTGCCAAGATATTTAATTTTTTTGAGCTTCTTTCTTCATTTGTAAACTTGGTATAACACCTGTCGCAGAATTCTGTGGGGATAAGTTATATGATCACTTTGTAATGCCTGAAATGTAGTGGGGTTCTCACTAAATATTTACTTCACCTCCTTCTTAACCTGTACAAGCCCTTCAACTTCAGCATCTTCATTACATTTTTGTTCAGCACTTTACTTCATTACATTGTTCATTAAGTATTCATACATAACTGTGTTATGTATTAAAGTCGTGTTCATTCTGTAATATCGTGATATATTTTAGAGAAGAGTCTTTGAAAATACCTTTTTGTATCTGCAAAGTGCTGTGCGCATAGTAGGTGCTCATCATATTAATTTACTATTTAACTCAAAAACATTTTTTATTTATTATCTAAATGCAACAGGAACCATTAAGATAGAAACAGTGAAAAGAAGAGTACTGGCTTACCACATTGTACAACTCCACCTCGTGGGGTGGTCAGGTTATTCCACACACCTAAAGGGATGTGTGGTGTGTGGAAAGATAATTATTCCAGAAACTGGAGCTATAAACATACTTACTGCAAACTCAGATTGAGTCTTAGCTGGCTGGCATCAAATAATAAAAGTATATTTTAATTAAGCTTATAATGGACATAGAAACTATCTTCTGTTGTCTTTAAAAAAATACTTTTAATTCCTGATGTCCTTGGCTATTTTGAGAGATAATGAATAACAAAAAAAAAATGGAATGACATTCAGTAATGGAAAGTACAGAATAACAGAAATGAGACATTCATATGAATTTTGAGGAAAGTATGATAGATAGTGAACAAGCATAGCAAGGCAAAAAAAATCCCAGGGTATACAGTATTGCAATCTCACATTCATTTCTATATCTTACATGTATATCTTTCATCTGTAGAGAAAATATTAAATATAATCTTGAGCTGTACAAGTAGAAAAATAATATCGAAATGATGTGGTGATCAACCCACAATACCTATCACTGATAAGAATTTCACTGGGATTGTCTTTCTCCTGCTGAGTTCCAGCTTTGAAGAATGACATAAAGGATCGAAGATTTAGAGAGGATTCGGAGAAGAGCTGGAATGCTCTAAAGGCACCATTGTCTGGCCCCTATCTTATCTAGATAAGGAATACAGTGCTAAATCTTGTAATAATATTTTGCAAATGGAAATTGAATCTTAAGGACTATTTTTTCCATATTGTTGTATTTCACTGTGGTGTATTGGAAAGTGATCTGGACTTTGAGTGAGAAGATGTGATTTGGACCATGGCACTTTAAAACTATAACCTCAGGCAAGTCTTTTAATCTTCTCTGAGCCTCAGTTTTCCTCATCTTTCAAATAAAGACCATAATATTTCTCTCATACGTAAGACAAGTTGCAGCAAACTATTGTTTTACAGATGTAAGATAACTTTTAACTGTGAGACCCTACATTCCAGTCTTAGGCTGTTGTACTTCGCTGTAGAGATAAGCCCTCAGGTACAGGTGTCTGCAATAGACTTTGACCCATGGAATTAACCATTTGACAAACAATAGGTTTTTAAAATACTCCCATATATGGATATGCACTCCACTCCAAACAAAATATAATTTCATTTAGTTACTTCTCTCTTAAAACTTTAGGGAGGAAAACAGAACTAAAAGAAATGACAGAAATACATTTCATTCTGCCTAGGACAAATGTAGTCACGTCTCTCCACTAACAAATGGTATAAATTTTAATTTCCAAGATAATAAAACAAAATACAAATCTTTTAAGTATATACTAAGATTTTTAATCAGCATTTGGTAATTTCAGAAATAGATAGTAGGAACCTCTATATAAAAGAAAATAATTTCTGTAGAAAATTTTTTGTTTTTCTTTTACATTTTGTACTGCTCGTTCCAACCCCTCCAGCCTCACAACACACAGTCTGAATACACATGCACAAAATAGCTCCTAGAGGGTGAGTTCCATCTTGAAAATGCAACTTTTTTACTTTGATAGAAACTCCACCATTCAGCATCCTATTGAAAACAGTAAAAACATAGGCAGCTCCTGTGGTCTAAAAGACATTTTTCTTCTTCACTTATCCCCCAACCTTATTCCACACCCTAGCTTTATTATTCTTTTTCCCCCAGACATACTATCCACCTTCCTGATCATGCCTAATTATTAATAACCATGCTATGAAAGCTGTTACTTAAGTCTCTCAGTTTAGGCTGTGTAGAGAAGTGGCCTTAGCAGTAGTGAGACTTAACTGTTGTTGCCCTGTGTAACCATAGATCTAGAAAGGTTTCCATCCCAAAGATCTTGTTCTGTTCTCCTCATGAAGCCTTCAATTTCTCTAGGCCTTTTTTTTGGATTGCTGACTTCAGACTTGAACATTTTTCTGGGTTCAGTAATCTTCTATTACAAAGCAGAGAAGCAGGCTAAAGAGGGCTGGCTAACAGCCATAATGTACTTCTCTCTTGCATCCCCTTAGAACATTTATGAATATAAAATAAAGGTTAAGAAAACCCTAAGAACAGTGAATCATTGAGTTCCACCAACTGCAAGGCCAATTGAACAATTCAACCAGTGGACGATCCATGCTCTGAGTAAAGAAGCGAGGCTTTTCCTCCCTTCCACACTTTCTTTTCAATACCAGAATGAAATCTGAGCAACTGCCCCTTAATCACGAAAATGATTTCTGTAAGACAGAGCGTCATGTCACCATTAGGTCTCCCTGACTCTTCCCCAGTTGGAGAATAGGAAGTACAGTACACAAGAAAAGTCTGTCCATCTGAAGAGCTCAGAGAATTTAACCAGCTCCCAGTTGGACAGAATTCATTTAAGAGTACTGTGGACACACTTTTTTTTAAAACACCAACAACAGATAATTAGTTTAAGGTAAGTAAAAACAAAATGCAAGCCACTATTTCATGCCTATTTAGATTTCTCACAGGAAGAAAAAAGGAATAAACATGCTTTTCATATAATATGGGTCTCTCTCCAGTGACCATCCAGTGACCAAATCCAGAGGTTTTTTTCTCATTCTGCATCAGCTTAGTTGAGTGGTTTCAACAGAGACTTAGAGCCCACAGTGTGTATTCACTTCCTGGCCTTTTACATAAAGTGTATGGACTCCTCATACTGAACATAACTTTCACACTGTTATTTTCATTCTTGGGCACCCTTCTTCATTCCTGTAGCCTAGGCTACTATCTCTTCATTTAACTTGTTTGCAAAGTCAGAGTATTGCTTTTTCAATTCCTGTAACACCTGGATGTGCCATCATATCAAGTATGTCTGTGTTACACTTAATTGTGTCCAGGTCTTACTCTCCTTTAGGAAAGAAACCTAATGGCCCTGACTTTTAGTCATGACGTGTCTTACAACACCCTTCTATACACAATATTCTTGTATGCAATAAATGGGCAGTAAATCTTTGCTGAATACTGATTGAGACAGACATTTTTTGGCTCAACTTTGAGAAAATAATTACCATTTTAAATAATGTTTCTCTGGAAAAACTTACTTGGAATTTCAAATAATAACCGTGCTACAAACTTTTGGAACATCACTTCTCTGCAAGTCAGGGACCACATTTTTATGTAAATCCTGAATGTTAGTATGAGGGAGTAATTAGGAAAGAACCAAACTTGCAAGTTTTGGGAGAACTTCATCCCATTCCTTCTTTGTATACACAATGCCTGTCTGCATCCCTAATGTACTTTTAAGCGGTAATCAAATTACACAGACCAGAAGGGAATAGTTGCAGCTCTTCAGGCTAGAAAAAGAGGGAGTTTCTGGGGCATATTCATGCTGGTTTTTGTCTGCTCTGTAATCTTTCTGTGTACAACTCTCTAGACTTGCCATGTAGCCTCCATCTTCTGTTGCCACTTGAGTCAGTTGACCAGTCACTTCGAATTAAGCTAGCTACAGTAGTCAGTGTTAACACACGTACACACTGCCATGACCTGTGAAGAGAATCATTCATGACAGAGGGTAGAGGGGAGTCCAGACAGAAGTTGATGGTGATACCCAAGGCAGCTGCTCCCGCTCTGAAGAACCCCACCACAACCCTGAAAAATACATTCCAAGTAAGAGGAGTCTATTTGGTTTTTGGTATTCAACAATTTCCATGTTATAAAAGTATTTTTAAACATTTTTACAATAAGCATTACTAGGAAAGATACTCTCCAAGCACTATTAGAAACATAAATATAGGAGAATTGTTAAATTATACATGAAAATTACTAGACAGGTAAATGTGTAAAGAAAAACATCATGTCAGAACCTGACACATAGGAATGAGGGACTAATCTCGAGTGATGAAATCCATATAAAACATTCATACTGGAATATACCTTGGATGTTTAATATTAATACTGAATGATTACCTAGAGAATAATAGTTTATGCTTTTCTAAGAAAGATTTTAACAAACATTTTTGACACACTTCGATCTTTCCAATGTCTTGAACAAACACTTGTAAAGTTTTTAACTTTTTATGAAAAATATTTTAAATATAAAAGAACAGGTAGTCTGTTAAACTTATCCTTTATTGTAAGACAATAGGATCACGTTCAAGATAAAATATATAATTTGTCATTGCATAATAAAATGTAAACAAAAGATTGTTTTAACAGCTTTTTTTTAGAAAAAATAGTATTTTAGTTTGGGAAAAATCTCTAGTGTGAACCAATAGTGTGGTAGCTAAGGATTCTTAGTTTATTTGAATAATTAGATGCAGAGATCCTTTTATTTTGTGAATTTAACAACATCTAAAAATCAGAATCTTTTGGACTTTTCTAGGGCTAAAAAGTTAGGAAGTATAAAATAATCATAAGGGTCACATTACTGTTTTTGCTTTGATGGTATAGTATTTTTAGTAGTGATAAAAGGTGATCCTTAATGCACACAGCTGGAAATGTTTAGACCAGTTAAAAAATAAATAAACCCTACAAATTCTCAGTTTTCTTAAGTTATAATTTTTTCAACTTTGTTTTAAGTATTTTATGATCAAGTTTTCTTTTCATCATTAACCCCCCATTCTTCACTTAGCTTTAATCTTTAGGGGAACTTAAAATTAAAGGCAGAAAATGCCAAAGAGTTCATCTACAAAGGACACATCTCTGCACACTGCCATCAGTGTTAGGAACTATTTGGATTGAATAGCAGCTACTGCTTACTGCTCTGAGGAAGTTTCCCTGCTGACCCTCTTCTTCATGAAGATGGTTACCCCTACAGGATCGCAGTCATAACTAGTTATTTTGAAAAATAGAAGCAAGGTCTTATTGCATCGAGGGATCAGCACGTGGTTTCTAGCCTTTAATAATTCCTCAGAAATGGAGTACTTATTTTAGTTTGTATAGCCTTTTTATTTTATAATTTTGTATTATATTTATCATATTTTTATTATATAACATTTTAAGTATTTTTAAATACGTGTTTACTTTTAGCACATAGTGTCACTAGGTTGATAAAATACGAGCACTATGGAGATCAACCAAACATTCTTTTCACTAATGAGGAAACCGAGGTTCAGAAAGACAAAGAAATACATTCTTAGGATATTAGGATTTAAACATCCAGATGTTAAACTTAGGAAACTAAACAGTTTTCCAACTACATGGCTTTCCCACTATAGCAACAATTAATTTCATTTTTGTTTTAATATTTGGTTAAAACATGGTTTGTCTCTGGTTGTCCTGCAAAGTTATATTGTCAAAACAAAAAAACCTTGCCACGTGTTAGAAAAAAGGTAAAAATATCAAGCAGAGGGCGCCTGGGTGGCTCAGTCGGTTAAGCGACTGCCTTCGGCTCAGGTCATGATCCTGGAGTCTCGGGATCGAGTCCCGCGTCGGGCTCCCTGCTTAGCGGGGAGTCTGCTTCTCCCTCTGACCCTCTTCCCTCTCGTGCTCTCTGTCTCTCATTCTCTCTCTCTCAAATAAATAAATAAAATCTTAAAAAAAAAAAAAAAAAAAAATATCAAGCAGAAACTTAGTAAATGTTATTTAAATTGACTTACCATCTTACAACTTCTATTTCTGTTCATAGATTAAAACTTTGCTTAGGGAAGTTAAAACTCCCTTTTACTTTATTTCTATCTGTACAAGCATCTATGTACAGATACTTACGTACTCAGAATCTAATGACACCAATTCATAAATACATTCTTTTTCGTTGTACAATATATTTCAGCTATAAAGTTCATTAAAAAACATCAAGCGTTTAGTTATTTTATGTAAGTGAATGAATTATAGATTGAAGTTTTTTTTAAGACATTGAAACGACCCACTTCAAATTTTTGTTTTAACCTACACTTTTTGTTCCTTTTACTTACATTACCGGTTTAAATGCTGGTTTAACTACTGCTCTAAGCAACAGTGAAAGTGGCTCACAGAAAGAAATAGGGTATTTTACCCAAACTTGAACACTGCTAGTTTAAGTTCTTATCAGCATCCTCTCCCAGCCCTGGCCTATTCTCACCACAAGTGTTGACCCCATTCCAGGAACTAGTTCAGAGAAATTGCCCCGATAAAAAATTAGAATGGGATGAATATAATTATGACATTTTTATATGCTATTTACATGTACTATTTTAGAGTGAATAAAAAGTATATTGTGTTTTCCTTATTTTCAGCATATAATTTTCTTTCTTTTTCAGCTTTTTAATTAAATGAAGCCAAGTGGGATTTGCATAAAGTGAATGTTTACCATGAAGATAAAGTGTTCCTGAGATATAGTTTGAATTCTTGAGTTCATTTCCATGTTGTGATAATTCTAGCTTATTCTTATATAATTTTTGAAATGTGTTTTCCTAGTGAATTTAATTTATAGAAGTGGATGGTTAAATTTCATATTAGCACTGGAAAGAACAAAGGAAATACTGAAGTGTTTTCAAGCATATTATATTCAGTATATGCTATAGGACTGAAATAAATGACAATGTAATTATGAATTCATGTGTTAGAACTGTTCACTCATTAGTAAAGAAAACCACAATGTTAGTAAGGGAAAACTATGAAATATATGTTAAAGAATCCTTAAGGTTATACAGAGATAAGGTATATGCATGATATGTCACGTACTGAAAAATTATACTCATTGTCATTTCAGTATAAAAGATGTGTGTATGGTTACAGATGTTTTGTTCTTATTAATCACAATTAGATAAAGAGACAGGGAGCTGGATGAATAGTGCCTGCAACTTGGAAGCCTAACCTGGGAAACGGAGGTTTTTCCCAGGACATAAATTTTAAAGCAAACAGGACTAAATCAATAAGCTTGAAAGCATCAGGTGATAGAAGCAACACACCAAAACTAGAAATTAATTCCTCTCTAACTTTAGAAGGGTCACCCAGGAATCCAGACCTGTAACTGCAAAACTAACGCATGATGGCCATTTTCCCCATGTGTTATATGGAAAACGTTTGCCATCAAAACTTCATTCCTTGAATCCAGATGAAAATTATCCTATGCATGAGTGAGTCAGTGAAGCTTTCTTGAAAACCAAATATAGGAGTCTAATCATTATGTTTGTATATCCTTTTAGTTTATAAAGTACTTTTGCATATGTTATCTTTTTTCTTTACAACAACCCTGTAAATTAGACAGGAAATACAAATTTTGTCTGACTTACAGAAGTATTAGAAGCTGAAAGCCAAAAAGAATAGAAAAATAGAGCTTCTAACTGGGCTTTCAAACTCTGAAACCTGAATTTTTATTTTCTGTGGTGCTGAAGAATAATTTAAAAATGCAGTCAGTTCAATAAACTTTCTTCCTTTTTTTTTAAGGTTATCTAATTTTCATTAAAATCTAAATAATAGAACATGGAGAACTTTGTTAGGAGTTTCAGGTATACAGTCTCAACAGGGACCAAGTGCACATCTACTGAATTTGCTTATTTCATACCTTTATGAAATTCAGTAAAGAATGGGAAATACAAAATCCTACAGGGGTATATGAAGCTTAGTTCCAGGGCAATATGTGTGCTAGCAATAAGTTATCTTGTCAAAACAGAATATTCAGTGAAAATTGCATAATAATTCAGAACTATGTTCACCTTACCACATATTCCCAAATCTATTCTTAAAAAGCACGTTAAGTCCCCTAGTTCCTGTTCAAAGTGTGATAAATTTAGTACTGGAATGGCATTTGTGGAAAAGCATTAAGTGATCATGATCATTTGTTTAATGCCTATCCCTAGGTAGCACTTGACGTGTAAATGTAAATCCATTGAGTATTTTTACATTTTCTAAGGTTCATTCAGAACAGGTATTACAATTGGAGTCTGAGACCAAATTTTACATGTAAACATATCTTTATTATAATTATTTTTGTCCCCTTAAGGCTCAAAGTTATTAAACAACATACCTTTAGTTTGTCTATAAAGCTTTAATATAGTGTTCAGTCACGACCAAAGTCAGACAATGACCAAGGTAAGGAGAACTTACCTATTCCAGATTAGTAAAAGTTTTGTAGCCTATATTATATAATTTCCTCTCAGTAATTATATGCCTACAACAAAAACAGTCTTTTAGCATTTTACAGCTAGAGAGCTGTCACTTTTCTATAGACTGTTGTTGCATTAGGGAAGTGATTCTAGAGGGAAATAAACTGCCTCAAGAGAAGTTGTTCCTGGAAAGTGCTATAGGCAAAACTACAAAGAGTGGTTCAAATGTAGTTTCCTTTCAGAATTTAGCATATGGAAAATCACATATGTAATATAGGCTATCTTTACCTTTGCCAAATTAAATTGAAAAATTCTTACTGGTATGCTGTATCCTCCAATGTCACTTTTCAACCAAATTTACTGTATTGAAGGCTCCCTTTAATACTGATATGTTGAACAGTCTTCAGTTAGAATAAAAAGAATTGCTTTCCTACTTAGAGGAAAAAATCTTAACAGAAAATTCCGTCTAAAGGAGTTTAATTTCTAACAACATCTGATGAATAAAATGTTGCATTTTGCTCAGCATACTGTTCCTTGCATCAGATATTCACATGAGTAAGCCCAATAGTGTTGTGTGTTTACTATAATTTTCTTTTGTGTATAAAGTAATATCCCTTGTCAATTAACAATTCAGCAAGCATGGTGATTTGGGGAGATTAGATCTTTTAACCATTGAAGAACCTCCCTAAGGGTACATGAAGGGAGTAGTTATTTCTAAATAAGGCATGACATACTATTTTGAGATCAAACACATGACAGTAAACATTGTGTTTTAAGAAGTACTGGTAACAAAGGCAAACATTAACTAGAGCATCTAGCAACAAAACATTTGAATGGACTTTTGGACACAGTGTTCCTAAGAGCTCATTAACATTCAATTTAAAATATTAAAACGAGGCTTTTCATACTCTAGCAAGGACCTGTATTGGGTCAAACTAATAATTGTTCTGATAGTATTTTTTCTCATAATGGGAAAAGGGTGAGCATAGTAGTCACACTACAAGGGTACAAGTGTGTTCATGCTAGCCCCTCAATTCCCTTATACGATCCATGAGTATGTGTCATTTATGAATTTTTCTATACTCCTTTTTTTTACCTACTTATGTCTGAAATATATATGCAATGTTTTTATCATATAACAGTGTAAGTATTTACTAAGTTTGAATAAAGCATCACACATTCAGACTATAATAGGAAAAATCGGGTCACAGCCAAATGTTGGTGTGTCTATTTCCATTAAAAATTATGCATGCTTATAGGCAATGAAAATGGCAGAATGAGGAACTCTAAGGACCCATCCATTCCACAGAAACACTAGAAAGACTGGCAGAAACTGTCAATATTGTTCAAAGTCTGGAAGATAATGTAACATAAATCAAATGAAAGCTTAAACAAAAAATGACTGAAACTCAGATGAATAGCTTAATAGCATTTATCTTAGTTTTTCCCCATCCTCCCCCCCAGTCAGTAGTGGAGGAGGATGAAAAATTGCAGCCTGTAACTGGTATGGGGACCTGGTTCTACAGGAGGCAGAATGCTCCTGTTCCCAAGGAATAGTGTTTGTTTGGACCTGCGGGCTACTGGGAGGATTCAAGCAAGGGGTTCACCTTTGTTTCACCTAACTCAGGAGTTTCTCAGGGTGTTGCTACAAGAGGGTGTTTCTCCAAAATACTGAAAAGGAAATGAACATGCTCCTGCCTAAGGCAAGTTAACAGTTGTGACAGACAGTAGACACATGGCTAAGGCCTGAATGAAAGGAAAAGCTGGAGGGTGAAGTACTTTGGGGAATAAAGGCTTTGAAAAGCTGCCACATGCCAAAACCCAGATCAGTATACATCCTCAGAAAAGATCTGAGAAGACCCTAGGCTTTTACTTCTTAATGATGTTTACACCCAGCCCAAGCAAGACTTGTGAAGGCTAGAGCATAGTTGTAAATCCCTGGATAAGTACTGATGGCATGACCCAACAGAGTCAATCTGCAAAGCCCAGGGGACTAGTTTCTTTTATTTCTTTTTCTTTCTTTTGTCTGCAGGCACTTAAGGACAGCTCTGTCAAACCGCTAGCTGACCACTAAACTAATGAAATACAAACTTCAGAGACCACACATGACAAGGAACACAATTTTTATAAAAATAGTTTTGAAAATTCGCTAAATAATTACAACTTAGATCAAGCAACAAAACTAATTCTAGAGAGGGAGCAGAATCCAATTTCCAGAGTTGCTACATTGGAATATTTAGAATGACCAGTTTGAAAAAAAGCAAAGAAACTAGAAAGCAGACAAAGAAAGAGAAAAGAGGTTAACACTGTCCTTAAAGCAGAAATTCGCTTGCTAAAAATGTTAACAGTCTTTAATGTATTCAAAGAGCTAAAGAAAACCATAGACAAAGGAACTAAAGGAAACAAATGAACAATGCATCATCAAATAGAAAATATCAACGAAGAAATAGAAATTATAAAAGGAATCAAATACCAATTCTAAAACTGAAAAACCATAATTGAAAAATTTGCTAGAGGGACTCAACAGAACACACATATCAGACACAGTGCATGAAATGTAATTTGACAATAATCTCATAAAACAAATGGCTAGAATTGTAGAGGAGCAGTTCTTGTATACTGTTGAATGTAAGCTGCTATTCCAACTAGACTGTGGATAAATATAAACCACAGAGTAGTAATGGAAGAATTGAGTAAATATATATCCCATATAGAAAACAAGTTGTAGAATGACAGAAGTTCCTATCAGTAATTTCTTTATAAATGCACTAAACATTCCAACCAAAAGCAGAGATCTGTCAAAAGGATTTTTAAAGTATGATATAACTATATAAAATTATATACCAAAATAAATCTCAAATCAGTACCCTAACTTTATGCCTTAAGGACCCAGAAAAAGAAAAGCAATCTAAACCCAAAGGCAGCAGAATGAAGGCAATAATAAGGATTAGAGGAGAAATAAATATGATAAAGAATAGAGAAGAGAAAAAGTCAATCAAAGCAAAACTTGGGTCTTTGGAAAAAGCAAGAAAATTGAGAAACCGTCAGCTACACTAATAACAAAATAGTTCTCAAACTTCTAAAGTTAGAAAGGAAAGTAGGAACGAAAATTAACTTATCCTACAGAAATAAGAAGCGTTATCAAAAAGTTCTATAAAGATATTTCAGGAAAATGGTATTGGGGGAGGATCCTGAGCTCACCTCTTCTTACGGACAAATCAAAGCATGACCTACATATAATGCAACGCTCTGAAAGTGACATAGTGAAAATGACAGAAAACAGAGACACAGTGGGAACCCACAAGCAGGAGGGATCGTATAGGTCTGAAGGTCATCCGTGAGGAACAAAGGGATCAAGTTCCATATGGGGCACTCCCAGCCCTGGGGACCTGCACCAGGAAGGTGAGCCTCCTAACAACTAGCAGGACTTAACTCTGGGACCTCTGCAACTCACTGGGGCTTAGCTCTACCTAAATGCAGTCAGGACTGCCATTTTCCCAAAAGCACCCACCACCCATCACGCCTGGCAGGCAGCCCCAGCCAGGACCAGCACTCCTTGAGAGCAACTCTTGCCCTGGCGAAGGGGAAGCCAACCCCATTCACCAACACTTCCACAGCGTTGCAACCCAGTCACAGTAGGAAGGGCCCTACAGGATGCCTTCTGCATAAGGCCACTCCTTCAAGACCAGAAAACATAGCTGACTTCCTTAAAGCACAGAAACAGAGACAGACAAAATGAGATTATGTTCCAAACAAAAGAACGAGGCAAAAAACTCAAAAAATACCTAAATGAAACAGAAATAAGCAATCTATCTGATAAAGAGTTCAAAGCAATGGTCGTAAAGATACTCACTAGACTGGAGAGAAGAATGGATTAACTCAGTGAGAACTTCAACAAAAAGAACATATAAAAACGATTCAGAGCTG